GTACATGGGGCACCAGCTCTACTAAGTGAGCAACCATAGTGTCCCAAGAGATGTTTTTCTCTTTAAGCAATCATTCTGTAATGTCTATTTATTAGCTAAGCATTTATCATTAATACAGTTGCATGTATACAATTGTGTTGCGCGATTTAAGTGGTGCTCCATCAATTTTCAGTAGGGAGCACCAGTGCCACTCGTGGAAGAAGTCATATATAGTTATATATGCAGTATTATAATAATGAGATTTAGTTTACCCTTGTCTTGCTATTCACATGAGCCTGCTGCTGCAGAAGGAACTTCACCATCTTGATGTTGCCATAGTGACAGGCCACATGAAGGGGTGTGTAGCCCATCTAAGACAAGGAAAGAGAGACAGTTGGATGTTGTTCAGTAGCTTCACGAACACCTTCTTATAGACAGCTTGAACGTAAACGTGGCACAAACTGAGAAAATGATTATGTATTAATTTAAAATAAGCACAACCTACTTTTCTAAAATACATTTTTATATTGTATTATTAGATACTGAATAGATTTTATACAAACTATACTTAACTCTAATGGACTAATGTGACAAGACCACATGATGTAAATTAAATATTCATAGATTATCATTAATTTCTTTAACAAAGGGATTAAATGACATAAAATTGTTATCCACTTCTTCATTCCCAGTTAGACTTCTATTGGTTTCAAGCTAGCCACATGGAAAACCTCAGACTCTGAGATGAATAATGTATTGATATTGTCAATAACAGAAAATCCCAATGACTTTGACAACACATTGAAGGTCTGGATCAGATTCTAAAATCCTGAGACTAATATCTGACTGTCCTGTAGTTAAATTACAATGCTGTTTCCATCAGCAAAGTCCAATAACTAATTCAGTGTCATATTTTAACTGAATGTCAGCCAATAATACCTATCCTATTATTCTTTGTACCAGTGGAGGTGGGGTAACTTACCCGTGAAGCAGCATAAACGGAGGCTCCTTGTTTGACCAATGTGTCTGCGATTCCCACGTGACCTTCTTGAGCCACAAGATGAAGAGGGGTCAATCCATTCTAACAGACAGAAAGAATGGACAGCAGAGATGAACACTATACCTTCCTAAAACAGCATCTTCAAAGTATGTTGATTTTGGTGGATGTAATATAGTCTAATGACCACACTACTTTTTTGAAAAATTATTTTTGAAGGTGAGTTAGATCAATTTCACTCTATTTTAATATTATACCTTGTTTCCCAGATTCACATTGGCCTGTTTAGAGATGAGCAAGGCCACAATGTCGGGCCGCCCTTCCTGTGCAGCCAGGTGCAGGGGCGTGATGCCTTGGAGGGACTCCACGTTGGGTGTTGCCCCATTCTGCAGCAGACAACTGGCCACCTCCATCTGGTTCTGCTTGGCCGCTATGTGCAGGGCAGTGTAGCCATTCTGAAGCGAGAAACAAGGACATACAGGCACACACAAGAATTGGTATTGCTTTTCTTAACGCTGTTAATCTCATTTTAGATTGAAACTTGAATGCTGCAATGAGAGCAACACTGAAAAGTAGTCATGTAAATTACTGTATGTTCAAGTATCACAGACTGTTTTGGTATGTGAATCGGTGATAGGGTTGGCATGCTGTGTTGGCCTGCCTGTGTGCACACGCATATGTGAGCATCTTACTCGGGCAGTGCTGTGTGCAGATCCTCCCTTGCTGACCAGGAGTTTAACAACATCCAGGTTGTTGTGA